TCATTACGAACTTGTAGCGCATGCACAGTTTTTCCTTCATAATCATTTTGCCTTGCGCCTAGACTAGAAGGAATGCGCAGCAAGAGTTGAAATACGGCTTGCAAGATTTTCAACATGGATGTCGATTTTGACCCATAATTTCCTGAAAATGGACCATTAAACAGATTTATTGTGTCAAGTTGTTAAAGTGGAACCGATGTATCTAGATCTAGGCCTAATTTTCAAAATAAAATAAATTGGATATTCATCTGGTAAAATGTAGGTTTTGGGCTAGACCGAAAACTTCAGTCTCTGATATCGACGGTTGTTCCACTGAGATTGCATCTGGCTCCTCTGACCGCCTCTATACATAGACTGAATATTGTCATATGGGAACTGAGTGGAACAAATGGTTCGGTTCGGCCGGACTACATGAATGAGATATGCAACAGGATTTTCACTCTTTACATCCTCATAAATGCACTTTGGCTGCAATATTCGAATAATTATATTAAACTAGAATTTAATTCGTCACAAAGACGAATAAGGTGGTCTGTCTAAGTCTTATGATAGATTTGAGAATGGGAGAAGTTATATATGACATCAATGATGATCATGATGAAGATGATGATGATCATGATAGTAAAGGTGATGATGATGATAATGATAATGTTATATGATGATAAAAACGATAATGTTAATGATGATGATGATAATGATCATGATCATGATGATGTTAGTGATGATCATCTTCAGACCATGATGATGATGATGATGATGATGGTGACATTGATGATGATGATGATGATGATGATGATATTGATGATGATGATGATGATGAGCATGAGCATGATCCTGACATCTGATTGAAAAAAATGAGGAAATATTTAGATAGCATATAGTCTCAGCTACAACATACTAAGATTTGGGAGAAAACTGTTGAATAACAACCGAGATACTGGTCAAAACACATTGTCATGCAGATTCATGTTTTGAAATAAGTGACCTCCCATAGACATAACACGCAAATATGACAAATTATGCATTGTCACCTTTAATCGAATATTTAACTATGATGACGTCATCCAAATGAAAAATAAATGGCATATTTCTGATAGAGAATTATCTCAGCTACAACATATCAAAATCTGGGAGAAGATCGATCACCGATAAGTGAGATAATCTCAAATAAACAAAGACAAAATGACGTCATCAACAAAATACATTTGTTTGAGTTTAGATGCCAATATGATGACTTTATTTCACTTTGTACGAGTCAGGGTGGTATGAAATCATATCTCCAACTCATGCTTTCTCCAACCATGATATAAAAATTGGGGGTCAATGGACTATCTGAAGAGCTATTTCGATTTTTAAAATGGCATGTTTTTGATCAAATTTGCATTATATTGCCCATAGCAGTACGCGCGGATTTTGAACTTTGACGCACGCTCACGGCCTTATGAAATATGAAGAGTGACTGAAATTAATGTAAATTGTCAATTACGTTAAAGGTACTATGTCCCTTTTGCAGCCAACCTCAAATGCTGTAGAACTTTGCAGGAATTATGAATATGTCATGTATGTCCTATCTGTGAAATTTAAACGTTAGCAGTGTCCTCATATTCAAATTATGCAAGGAAAACCGTTTACCTGCTAGACTTCACTGTCAGACACTATTGAGTGACTGACTGGCCTTTTTTCTTCTTTGGTAATAACATACATGAAAAGAGTTGTAAAGGGCACATGAGTATTTGTCTACATCAATAACCCACTTCTTGTGATGGCCAATATTAAACTGATTGAATCTTTGCGCAGCTTAAAATGTATGACCATTCGGTACAATTGTCTGAAAATCTATAGCCCTAAAGTCGATTTGACAACTAATAGTTGTTATTTTCCCACTTGAAGACATTTTCAAGCCCCACCTTTTTTAGGGAAGTTCTAAATTAGTATTATCTTTCAAATGCAGTTGGAATTTAACTTTTTCATTTTTTTGGCCTGCAAATGGGACATAGTCCCTTTAAGAGGAATCCAAATCATGTAAACATTTTGAATTTGACATTTTCCGCGCGCTGTGAGCGCGCACAACGCGCCCGGGGACACGTACGGACGGAAAATTTTGAAATGCTTAAAATGACCTGATTCGTACTCTCCTTTAGTAGTTAAGTGATTTTGAGCTTTTTAAAATTTTGACGCACACGTACGCGCGCGTCATGACCTTTGATGACATGACCTGTTGACCCTTGCCCTAAAGTATATGTGATATGAATATGAATGACCTTTGCTTATGCATCATGAAGATATGATGGATAACGTGATTTCACAAAATGGCGCCTGGATGACGTCACAATATTCTAATGACCTTGAAAATGTTCATGTCACGTCTCATTACAATGACGTATAATTGTGCCGAATTGTAATGAAATTAACTAAACCAAACTTTAGTTATCCGGGGCACAAAAAACGGGAAGAAATAAAAATAAAGAATAATAATAATAAATAAAGAAAATTCTGACGAAATCAATAGGTGGTCTGTTGATAACAGACCACCTAATTACAAAAAATAACACAGAAATATTTAATTTGACTTATGATAGCTTGCTCATTTAGATCCTAAATTAATGATTAATCCAAGAAGTCTCATAGTCAACATGATTCGTTGTCATCCATCTTGGTTTTAGTTGATGAATATTCATTCTTTCTTTTCGAGTACGAGTCAGCCCGGCTTGACCCAGTGATAAATTATGAATATTCATAAATCCAATATTAAACGAGTGCTCTGATTGGCCATTGGCTATGTTTTGGTAGGTTGACCCAAAAATATATCGGCCGGGTCATGTCAAAGAATACTACATGTAGTTCGAATGCATGAATGTACCGTTTCACGGATCCGAGATAAAAATTGGATAACTCATATAAGTAAGTCCGTAAATTTTGCATTTTATAATAGGTTATCAAATTTTGATAACTGTAATTAGGAGAAAAATATACACCTTTTTTCTATCTGATTTATAAATCAGAAAATTAGATCTAGACACATTGAAAATCGGGGGTGAAAGTTTCTGTCACAAAGAGGTACAGAAATGGGCCAATCTATCCCCCGGTGCAACTGGTCTGCATTACTGTCTTTGTATGGGGCATGTCAACAAATGTCAGTTTTATTAAAGAAATGACCCATATCAGACAGTTAGTCTAGTTAGTTTTGGGCATAAGTTAGCACCTGGTTAGGTTTTCAATTCAGGCATACCGACTTTGCAGGGCAGTCCCTATGGTTCGCTTCTGTCTCTAAAGAGAGAAGCCGACCCTACCTAAATCAGAGGCTAATGAACGAAAGAGACAAAAATTTCGGTCTAACTGAACTCATTAGTACAACTTCAAGTTCACTGACATTCCATTGAAATGCGTGTAGGCCTAGACCCTATGAGGTTTAACACATGTTTCAATGGGATGTCAGTGAACTTCTTCTTACTGATGGTTTCACAAAATGCTGCCTAGATGATCGGTCATGACAGAGTTGGCAATTTCAAATTTGTGTTTGATTGATCACAACTTTCTAATCAGATTTTTCAAATATTTCACTGTCCTGTTACACTCATAGTCATATATCTAGATATAGTCCAAGTCGTTGTCAGATTGGACTTCCCCTTAATAATTCCCCATTACTAGACGGTTAGATCTGTCATTGTCAAGTCAAGTGTCAGGCTAACTCCGGGAAGCTCCGACACCGGCGCTGCGGTGTCGGAGCTTCCTGGAGTTAGATCTAGTCTAGTGCCAGGCAGGAATTCCGCGAAGTCCTAGACCGAATTTTCTGTCTCTTACGTTCTTTAGTCTGAGCCGACCTTACCCAAATCAGAGGCTAACGAACGAAAGAGACAGAAAATTCGGTCTAGCGAAGGCCAAGCTGTTCAAAGCATATCAGAGCTACCAAGTATCACGCATTAGGTGTGACATCACGCATTTCGAGGGTCTGAAAACGCTCTCACGCACGGTGCGCGCGCTACATAAAAAAAAAACGCTATACCTTATATGTGTGTTATACCCCCGCTTGGCGCTCGCGCGCCGAATCACGAAAATGTCACGCATTGCGGATCTTTGAACTTGGCGTCTCTGAACAAATCCTAAACAAAACATAAAATTAAAAGGTTAATGTGGGCTAGAGTCTAGATCTAGATTAGATAGAAATAACCGTCTGATATGGGTCATTTCTTTAATAAAACTGACATTTGTTGACATTCCCCATAGAGGCGGTCAGAGGAGCCAGATCTCAGCAGAACAACCGTCGTCGATATCAGAGACATGAAGCTTTCGGTCTAGATTAACTCCAGCAAAGCATAGAGAGTCAATGCTAATGCGTATTGACCTCTAGCTAGCACTGCATACTTGCTGTGAGGCAGGTATTATTAGTGTAGACCCTATACACAAATATACACACCACACAATATTGCATAGACTGCACACAATCATGCCGATGGCCGGGCGGCTGTAATGTACATGTAACGTTAGACCTAGGCGGCTAAGAAAAGGTTTGACATTAGACTTACAATTTGAATTGTTAAATTGAAAAAATTGTATTTTACTGCTAGACCCTATTTAGGTGTCATCAATTGTCATCTACCGATTTTGAGTGAAATCAGTTGAGTTTTGTACAGTCAACAGTGGTGTTTGAAATGTTGAGAATCAAAAGCACAGCTTTTACTAACTACTAGATCTAGACAGAAATAACTGTCTGATATGGGTCATTTCTTTAATAAAACTGACATTTGTTGACATTCCCTATAATCGGAGGTCTAGTGGAGCCAGACGTAGTCTCAGTGGAACAACCGACGATTAAAGAGACTGAAGCTTTTGGTCTATTTACCAGCCAGCGCCAGGATAGTGATGCTCCTACTACTAGTAAGTACTAGGCTAGTCCTATATGCTATGTGTGGGCTAGTCCAGATCTAAATTACAATTAGCAGATTAGTGAATTAGAGGTCTAGTGTTACAACTGTTCCCTACTCATCCGACGATAAACTCACATAATTTGGATTGTACGGCTGTTGTTGACCCCACGACATGTTCTGAAATTGAGTCACTGGATATGGGAATGAAACAAATAAAGGAACCAAGTTTAATAAAGAACTTCAGCTGAGTTTAGCGTGTGTTCCTTCTCCCTAGGCCCTCTATCACTGTCTGCTGCATGTGAGCCAACAAAAGCGACCAATAAGAAGCTCGGGGAAGCAGCGCCAGCAACGAATAACGAATAAGGAGGTTATATAGTGTCTCCAAAATGCCAATCGAAAAGTAAAAAGAGAATTTCCACGTCTCGGGTGACGGTATAGCGACAACAGTATTGGGTTTAGGTTTGTATATGCTTTTAAAACTATATCTTATGACATTTTAATAATTGATTGATTAATTTTTTCATTCGCCAAGCTTCCAACATACAACAATATACAAAAATAACAGGTCATTAAGTCAGCTCGAGCAGGATATCCCCCTCCACGAAAACTCGAGAACTTATATATTTCCAGCCCCCCCCCCCCACTCAGTGTTATTTAGGGTACGCATTATGCGTGTTCCCTCCTTTTGAGAACATCCCCCTAAGCCCGGTGTGTAAAGTCAATTTTGTGTACATGTATGTACGAGCAGGGGCGTCTCCAAAGGGGGGTATGTGTGTGTGTGTGTGTGGGGGGGGGGGGGTGGGGGTGGGGGATGCGACACCCCCCACCTGTCAGGATATTGTCGGTAAAATTGCGCTGCCGTCGGGAAAAAAGAGAAAAGGGGGAGCGAAAAAAAAAAAAAGAAAGGAAAAGAAAGGAAAGAAAGGAAAAAAAAGGAAAAAAAGAGAAGAAAGAAAGAGAAAAAAGAAAAAGAGGGAGGAGAGGAATTAAAGAAAGGAAAAGAAAGAAAAGGAAAAAAAGAAGAAAAAAAAGTAAAAGGGAAACAAACGAAACGGGGAATGAAAGAGAGGAGAGAGAGGGGAGGTAAGAGCCCGAGAGAGGAGGAGTGGGAGTAAAAGAGAGAAGGGGGTTGTTGGGTGGAGTCGTCTCGTGAGCAAGAAAGACAAGAGTAAATATGTTGCTATGTCGGGTCAGCTGTGTCGGTATTCTTGCTCGATCCTTGTGTACTATATCAATGCAGAAGTTTGAAGTCGGTGAGATGTATATTGTCGGTCGGCCGACAAGTTTTTTTCCCCTACGAACTGTGACTTTTTATCCGCTGTGACGACTTCGAGAGTGACTACAACTACAATACTTTTATTTTCTCGAAATTTCACTTTCCTATAATATCAGCTAAAGAATTCAGAGGTTTAAAATTTTCGGGGAAACTAAATTCAAACAAGGTTTAAGAGTCAACAATGGTACGACGAATCGTCTTCTTTTCTCTATATTGTGATGAAACGCCAAAAATTCCGCGCTTTTCGCGGGGGGGGGGGGGGAAGACTTTATTTAGACGAGTCGAGAACGGTGTAACGAATCGTCTTCTTTCTCTAATGATTTAAGGAAACGTCAAAACTTCCGCACTTCGCACGAGAGGGGGGAACTGAATGCAGACAAATAGGGCTTATTAAGAGTCGAAAACGGTACAACGAATCGTCTTCTTTCTCTAATAATTTAAGGAAACTTCAAAGCTTCCGCGCTTCGCGCGAGAGGGGGAAACTGAATTCAGATGAATAGGGCTTAATAAGAGTCGAAAACGGTACAACGAATCGTCTTCTTTCTCTAATAATTTAAGGAAAAAGTTCAAAGCTTCCGCGCTTCGCGCGAGAGGGGGAAACTGAATTCAGACAAATAGGGCTTATTAAGAGTCGAAAACGGTACAACGAATCGTCTTCTTTCTCTAATGATTTAAGGAAACGTCAAAACGTCCGCGTTTCCCACGAGAGGGGGAAACTGAATTCAGACAAATAGGGCTTCTTAAGAGTCGAAAACGATACAACGAATAATCTTCTTTCTCAAATAATTTAAGGAAACGTCAAAGCTTCCGCGCTTCGCGCGAGAGGGGGAAACTGAATTCAGATGATATAGGGCTTAATAAGAGTCGAGAACAGTACACCGAATCGTCTGCTTTTTCTCATAATTTAATGAAACGTCAAAGCTTCCGCGCTTCGCGCGGGAGGCCTATCACCCACGTCCCCCCCGAAAATGAGCGCTTCGCGCGCTCTTAAAGTGATTCTCTTTCTTACTACCGCCCCTCCCACGCCTGCATTTAGATATATAGTTACATTCGCCTCAATTCCCATTTGCCTTAATTTTACTGAAACTCACATGAAATGTAGATTATTATATACTTCATCGAATACAGGGTGCACAAATTGTAGCAGCCGACTTAAAAAATGGCTAATTTGAGCGTATAACAACCAATGTCCGGAACAAATATTTTCGTTAATAGCGAATAACGTCTAGAGTATATAGAAGGGGGTGGGGTTAATACATTCGTTGCTAATTCCTATTTGCTTTAAATGTGCTGAAACTCACAAGAAATGTAGATTATTATATACCTCATCGAATACGGGGTGCACAAATTCTAGCAGCCGACAGTGAAAAAGGTCTTATTTGAGCACATATCAACCAATGTCCAAAACAAATATTTTCGTTAGTAGCGCATAACATATAGAGTATATAGGTGAAGGGGGTTTCGGCCTTTAATACGTTGGCCTTAATTCCCATTTGAATTAATTTTTGCTGAAACTCACATAAAATGTAGATTATTATATACTTCAGCGAATACAGGATGCACAAATTCTAGCAGCCGATATTAAAAAGGTCTAATTTCAGCGTATACTACATCAACCAATGTCCAGAACAAATATTTTCGTTAGTAGCGCATAGCATGTAGAGTATATCGGTGAAGGGGGTTTCGGTCTTTAATACATTCGCCGCCAATTCCCATTTGCCTTAATTTTGCTGAAACTCACATGAAATGTAGATTATTATAGACTACAGCGAATGCGGGGTGCACAAATTGTAGCAGCCGAAATTAAAAAGGACTAATTTGAACGAATATCAACCAATGTCCAGAACAAATATTTTCGTTAGTAGCGCATAGCATGTAGAGTATATCGGTGAAGGGGGTTTCGGTCTTTAATACATTCGCCGCCAATTTCCATTTGCCTTAATTTTGCTGAAACTCACATGAAATGTAGATTATTATAGACTACAGCGAATGCGGGGTGCACAAATTGTAGCAGCCGAAATTAAAAAGGACTAATTTGAACGAATATCAACCAATATCCAGAACAAATATTTTCGTTTATAGCGAGCCGCGTGTATAGAGTATATCGGTGAATGGGGTTTCGGCCTTTAATACATTCGCCGCTAATTCCCATTTGCTTTAAATGAGCTGAAACTCACATGAAATGTAGATTATTATATACTTCAGCGAATACGGGGTAAACAAATTCTAGCAGCCGACATTAAAAAGGTCTTATTTGAGCGCATATCAACCAATGTCCAGAACAAATATTTTAGTTAGTAGCGCATAACATGTAGAGTATGTAGGTGAAGGGGGTGTCGGTCTATAATACATTCGCCGCTAATTACCATTTGCTTTAAATGAGCTGAAACTCACATGAAATGTAGATTATTATATACTTCAGCGAATACGGGGTAAACAAATTCTAGCAGCCGACATTAAAAAGGTCTTATTTGAGCGCATATCAACCAATGTCCAGAACAAATATTTTAGTTAGTAGCGCATTTAGTATATCGGTGAAGGGGGTGTCAGTCTTTAATACATTCGCCGCTAATTCCCATTTGCTTTAAATGAGCTAAATCTCACATGAAATAAAGATTATTATAAACGTCATCGAATACAGGGTACACAAATTCTAGCAGCCGACATTAAAAAGGTCTTATTTGAGCGCATATCAACGAATGTCCAGAACAAATATTTTAGTTAGCAGCGCATAACATGTAGAATAGGGACCCCACTGGAAATAAGCTCTCGAGCTTTCATGGGTTATCCTGTTCAAGCTGACTTATTTTTGATCTGTTATTATTGTATATTGTTGTATGTTGGAAGCTTGTCAACTAAAAATCAATCAATCAATCAATCTATATCGGTGAAGGGGGTGTCGGTCTTTAATACATTCGCCGCTAATTCCCATTTGCTTTAAATGAGCTGAAACTCACATGAAATGTAGATTATTATATACCTCATCGAATACGGGTTACACAGTTTCTAGCAGCCGACATTAAAAAGGTCTTATTTGAGCGCATATCAACCAATGTCCAAAACAAATATATTTCGTTAGTGGCGCATAACATGTAGAGTAAATCGGTGAATGGGGTTTCGGCCTTTAATACATTCGCCGCTAATTCCCATTTGCCTTTATTTTGCTGAAACTCACATGAAATGTATATTATTATTTACCTCATCGAATACGGGGAACACAAATTCTAGCAGCCGACATTAAAAAGGTCTTATTTGAGCGCATATCAACCAATGTCCAGAACAAATATTTTAGTTAGTAGCGCATTTAGTATATCGGTGAAGGGGGTGTCGGTCTTTAATACATTCGCCGCTAATTCCCATTTGCCTTTATTTTGCTGAATCTCACATGAAATAAAGATTATTATAAACCTCATCGAAAACAGGGTGCACAAATTCTAGCAGCCGACATTAAAAAGGTCTTATTTGAGCGCATATCAACCAATGTCCAGAACAAATATTTTAGTTAGTAGCGCATAACATGTAGAGTATGTAGGTGAAGGGGGTGTCGGTCTATAATACATTCGCCGCTAATTATCATTTGCTTTAAATGAGCTGAAACTCACATGAAATGTAGATTATTATATACTTCAGCGAATACGGGGTAAACAAATTCTAGCAGCCGACATTAAAAAGGTCTTATTTGAGCGCATATCAACCAATGTCCAGAACAAATATTTTAGTTAGTAGCGCATTTAGTATATCGGTGAAGGGGGTGTCGGTCTTTAATACATTCGCCGCTAATTCCCATTTGCCTTTATTTTGCTGAATCTCACATGAAATAAAGATTATTATAAACCTCATCGAATACAGGGTACACCAATTCTAGCAGCCGACATTAAAAAGGTCTTATTTGAGCGCATATCAACCAATGTCCAGAACAAATATTTTAGTTAGTAGCGCATAACATGTAGAGTATATCGGTGAAGCGGTTGCCGGTCTTTAATACATTCGCCGCTAATTCCCATTTGCATTAAATGAGCTGAAACTCACATGAAATGTAGATTATTATATACTTCAGCGAAAACAGGGTGCGCAAATTGTAGCAGCCGACATTAAAAAGGTCTTATTTGAGCGCATAACAACCAATGTCCAAAACAAATAATTTCGTTAATAGCGAATAACGTCTTGAGTATATAGAAGGTTGTGGGGTTAATACATTCGTTGCTAATTCCCATTTGCTTTAAATGTTCTGAAACTCACATGAAATGTAGATCATTATATTCTCCATCGAATACAGGGTACATAAATTGTAGCAGCCGACTTTAAAAAGGGCTAATTTGAGCGTATAACAACTAATGTCCACAACAAACCTAAACGTATAGCGCATATAACGTCTAGAGTATTTAGAAGCGGATGGGGTTAATACATTCGTTGCTAATTCCTTTTGCTTTAAATGTGCTAAAACTCACATGAAATGTAGATTATTATATACCTCAGCGAATACGGGGTACACAATTTCTAGCAGCCGACATTAAAAAGGTCTGATTTGAGCGCATATCAACCAATGTCCAGAACAAATATTTTAGTTAGTAGCGCATAATATATAGAGTATATCGGTAAAGGGGGTGTCGGTCTTTAATACATTCGCCGCTAATTCCCATTTGCTTTAAATGAGCTAAAACTCACATGAAATGTAGATTATTATAGACTACAGCGAATGCGGGGTGCACAAATTGTAGCAGCCGAAATTAAAAAGGTCTAATTTGAACGTATATCAACCAATGTCCAGAACAAATATTTTCGTTTATAGCGAGCCGCGTGTATATCGGTGAATGGGGTTTCGGCCTTTAATACATTCGCCACTAATTCCCATTTGCTTTAAATGAACTGAAACTCACATGAAATGTAGATTATTATATACCTCATCGAATACGGGGTACACAATTTCTAGCAGCCGACATTAAAAAGGTCTTATTTGAGCGCATATCAACCAATGTCCAGAACAAATATTTTAGTTAGCAGCGCATAACATGTAGAATAGGGACCCCACTGGAAATAAGCACTCGAGCTTTCGTGGGTTATCCTGTTCAAGCTGACTTATTTTTGATCTGTTATTATAGTATATTGTTGTATGTTGGAAGCTTGTCGAATAAAAATCAATCAATCAATCAATCTATATCGGTGAAGGGGGTGTTGGTCTTTAATACATTCGCCGCTAATTCCCATTTGCTTTAAATGAGCTGAAACTCACATGAAATGTAGATTATTTATTACCCGTATCAGACATCTACAGCAACATTTACAGCAACATTAACCTTGAATATAGTCGTTAAAGCAATATATAAAACCTTGGACTTAAGTCATGTATCTGAACGGGTAACCGACCATGGGAATCATTGCATACTAGACCATTAATGTCACCCAATTATGGTTAAACTATTTGCATGCCGACAGAAAGGTTTAAAGAAAATCTTTGTTTTGCAGGGTCACCTGTATCAATCACAAAGCCTATATTTGTATGAAACGCTTATTAAACTGTATCAAATATTTGGGCTTGTCGTTCAAATGCGTGTTACGTTGGAACAGGGCGCGGCTTTTCCGCGCCACGGCTGACCGATCCTCACATCGGTCCGCTGTGGCGCCCTATCACAAAGATAATTGACGCATAGAGCGACGGGTTCATTAATTGAGCAGCCTAACCTTCATTTCAAATCTGCATTTTAAAAAAGAAAAAAAGAAACAAAAGAGAGAAAGGTTTTTTGTGTGCGTGTTTTACTTTTTTGTGACCAATAATACTGGAAAATTCGATTGTCCAAATACGTAAAGCAGTCGAACCCTGGAAGAATTGTACGTTGTCACGAATACTAAATTGTCATGATTGTATACCTTTCAGGAGTCATACAGTAACATTTTTTTTAATTTTTTTATCATACAGGATATTTATTGCATACCCTCCACTGGGCTGGGGGCTGGAGACAAGTTTTTTTTTTTATCAACCTTTGATCTTGATTACTGGGTTTGTCAAGAACGAATTCCTAACTCTGGGTCAATAATTATTATCTGTATAGCATTCAATTGTTTTGGGTCCATCTGTTTTATTGTAGTTGACTGAACTTGTTTTGATGACCGGGAATTCATGTCAAAACCCTCTTTGCCACTTAATAATTATTGTACTCCGAATTGTCATTGCTATCAAGCATTATGTCATGGTCTGCTTTAGCATGCACTATTTGTTTTGGTCTGCACAACGAATCTCTTAGTTTTGCAAAATACCTGTGTCTGTCACACCATTCATGTATGATGGGCTTATTAAACTTACTGTAACAAATATATGGACTTATCGTTTACGTGTGTCTAAAGTAGGAACAGGGCGTGGCTTCTCCGCGCCACGGCTGACCGATCTTCATATTGGTCCTCAGTGGTGCTCTATCTCAGAAATACGCGACGCATGGGTGCGATGGGTCCATTGTTTGACCAGTCTAACTTTCTTTTCAAAACCGCATTAAATGTGTAAAGCATTTGAGTCTTGAGAGAATTGTATTGTTGTCACTAATCTCAAATTGTCATGACCTTTCGGGGGTCATGCAGCTCCATTTTGTATCATGCAGGAATGTATAGCTTACCCTCCACTGGCCTAGGGGCCGTAGACAAGTTTGTATTAACCTTTGATCTTGATTACTGGGATTGTCAAGAACGAATTCCTCACCCTTTATCGGTAATTATCTGTATAGCGTTCAACTGTTTTGGGTCCATCTGTTTTATTGTGGTTGACTGAACTTGTTTTGATGACCGGGAATTCATGTCAAAACCCTCTTTGCCACTTAATAATTGTACTCCGAATTATCATGCTATCAAACATGTCACAGTCTGCTTTAGTATGCATGCATATTTCTTATCTGCACAAAGAATCTCTTTGATTTGCAAAACACCCGTGTCAGTCACACGATTCGTATATGATGGGCTTATTAAACTGTAACAAATACATGGGCTTGTCGTTCACATGTGTCTAACGTTTGGGCGTGGCTTCTCCGCGCCACGGCTGACCGATCTTCATATTGGTCCGCAGTGGTGCTCTATCTCAGAAATACTCGACGCATGGGTGCGATGGGTCCATTGTTTGACCAGCCTAACTTTCTTTTCAAAACCGCATTAAATGTGTAAAGCTTTTGAATCTTGAGAGAATTGTATTGTTGTCACTAATCTCAAATTGTCAAGACCTTTCGGGGGTCATGCAGCTCCATTTTGTATCATGCAGGAATGTATAGCTTACCCTCCACTGGCCTAGGGGCCGTAGACAAATTTGTATTAACCTTTGATCTTGATTACTGGGATTGTCAAGAACGAATTCCTCACCCTTTATCAATAATTATCTGTATAGCGTTCAACTGTTTTGGATCCATCTGTTTTATTGTGGTTGACTGAAATTGTTTTGATGACCGGGAATTCATGTCAAAACCCTCTTTGCCACTTAATAATTGTACTCCGAATTGTCATGCTATCAAACATTATGTCATAGTCTGCTTTAGCATGCATGAATATTTCTCATCTGCACAACGAATCTCTTTGATTTGCAAAACACCCGTGTCAGTCACGCGATTCGTATATGATGGGCTTATTAAACTGTAACAAATACATGGGCTTGTCGTTCACATGTGTCTAACGTTTGGGCGTGGCTTCTCCGCGCCACGGCTGACCAATCTTCATAATTGGTGCTCTATCTCAGAAATACTCGACGCATGGGTGCGATGGGTCCATTGTTTGACCAGCCTAACTTTCTTCTCAAAACTTTATTTATTTATTTGTTTATTTTTATTTTTTGGTTTTTGTATGTGACAATAATTTATCATGATGGAAAATTCGATTGTCCAAATGGGTAAAGCATTTGAGTCTTGAAAGAATTGTACGGTTGTCACTAATCCTAAATTGTCATGATTGTATTCCTTCCAGGGGACATGCAGTAGAACTTTGTATCATGCAGGAATGTATTCTTTACCCTCAAATGGGCTTGAGACAAGTATTCGTTATCCTTTGATCTTGACGACTGGGATTATCAAGACCGAAGTCCTCACTCTTTATCAATCATTATTATCTGTATAGTATTCAATTGTTTTGAGTCTATCTGTTATATTGTAATTGACGAAACTTTTTTCTTTTTTATGATGAGCGGAAATGTCAAAACCCTCTTTGCCATTTAATATTATTGTACTCCGAATTGTCATAACATTTATCAAGTATGTACATACGAGCCTGTCTCAGCATGCATGCATCTTTCTAATCACCTGTGTCAATCAAAAATACATTCGCAATTTCGTGTGCTTATAACCTTAACAAATACATGGACTTATCGCTTACGCGTGTCTGACGTATAGGAACAGGGCGTGGCTTGTCCGCGCCACGGTTAACCGATCTTCACATCGGCCCGCTGTGCGCTCTATCACAAACATACTCGACGCATAGAGCGATGGGTCCATTGTTTGAGCAGCCTTACTTTCATTTCGAATCTGCATTTATGTTTTGGTGTGTTTTATTGTTTTGTGACCAATAATAATGGAAAAAAACATTTGAATTTTGAAGGAATTGTACTTTTTCACTAATGCTAAATTGTCACGATTGTATACATTCGGGTGTCATGCAGCTCCATTTTGTATCATGCAGGAATGTATATAGCTTACCCACCACAGGGCTGGAAGCTGGAGACAAGTTTTTATTGACCTTTGATCTTGATTACTGGGATTATTAAGACCGAACTCCTCACTCTTTATCAATAATTAGTATATTCTCATCCTTCATTACTCAGTTAATGACTCACAGATTACATCAATAACAATCTTTATGGAAAAGCCTGTCAGACCGACCAAGCCAGCTTTTATTCGAATTGTATCTTTTTGAACAATCATGAACAATCTTTGTTATTATATCATTTTGAACATCAAAATAATTTCAATTTTTTAAACTCATTCTTGATTTTGAAAATATCAAGTGTAAATATTGTTAACATTGCATAATCTCAATCGTCAACGTTCATACCACAATATATACTGACATTGTATAGAATAAAATATTAATTTTGATCCCTAACCTGCATGGGGCTTTGCCTTTTTTCCCCACGCCCGGACCGATTCCCTAGGTTGAAAAAACCAGAGATAAACTAAATAAGGCAAATGCTCTGGAAAAACCTAATGGCAAATCGTCCCAATAAAAATAATCTATTTGAATCTCTAAACCTCCTACAAAAACAAACACCAAACTATTGTTCTGTATTAAAATTTCCACTTGAAATTTGTGTCGTGTATCTAGTGTCTGACAAAGCTAGAATGGCTACCACGCCCATTTCCCTCTCTTATTATGCCTTTCTGAACATTCCTTTCCTTCTCAAAACAATAACTTACACCTGCCTAAGTTATTCAAACCATCCCGCTTCGCGGAATCGTGGCGTCTCGCCACTCCCATTACGTAATCATTAAACGGATCCGCATATACAACATTTTCCTGCTATACGTTGTACCGCAGGAAAATACAAGTATATTCTCATCCTTCATTACTCAGTTAATGACTCACAGATTACATCAATAACAATCTTTATGGAAAAGCCTGCCAGACCGACCTAGATGTAAAAAAGAACGGGTGCATTTCCTTGTAGCACACTGAACAATTTAACAAAAAAAATATTTAACAATCTATTCCAATTTAATCCGTCTCAAGATTGAAATGATCATCTTTCTTGAATATCCTTTTTGTCGAATATCCCTTTCTGATTATTTAACAAAACATAATCACTTAACCGTTATTTGCAGAAAAAATGTATTACATGAATTCATATAACGATTACTCTTTCCTTTCTTTCATTACTCTTCTTTAATAAAAAAAAAAACATTGTCGGACATTATATCTGTTTTTCCAAGACAATTCATACTCCACATTCAAAATAAACACGTTTCCTATGATGGAAAACATTCATAATATGCCTAAAGCATTAAGGATTTTGTCACCTCAAGTTTATTATCTAATGTATCTACAACATATCCATCCTTCGCTTTATCTGTCTTCCAACGACCATGTATTTTCCACAATCTGTCTTTAGTTGATGTATTAGCAACCATAGTGGCTCCACCTGCCCTCAGTGAATGCAATCCGAGATTTGCATCCCCACATACTTCTTTCAACAAAGAAATTACCCTCTCTCTAGCTGTCGTGTAACTTAAAGGTTTGTCTTTCCTTATAAGCGCACTAACTCCTTTAGACCTGTATGCCGGTTTAAAGAAAAAATGATTGGAATCTAAAGAAATCCGAGCCACATTGATATACTTCTTTACCATTTTGACCGGACAAGCTTCTGTCACACCGGCACTAATGACTACACTATTACCTTGTCTATACTGATCCGTCTTACTCTTAGCAATATTAAGAGAAATATAATCATCATAAATTGACACATCATTACACTTCAAAGATCTTGCTTCATCATATCTAAGAAACCCCGTGAAACACAAAATTAATAATGTTAAGTCTCTGAGCAAAATTGCGTCCTCTGTATGAACATGCTTCTTACATAGCTCTTTAACTTGATCTGAAGTAACTGGATCTTTCTTGTTTACTTTTTTCTTGCATTGCCGTTGGCAGATTCCAACAAATTCTTTACAAAACAATTGTCTGTGGGATCCCTGAACCCTCTAAGACTATGAGCCCACTTAATGGTGTATACAGCACCTTCTATGACACTCGATGAATGTCCTTTGTCAATAAGATGAGTCACATATAGGGCGACGTGAATAGATTCAGCTGGAAGAGAATTCCCTCCTTCTGCACTGATGAATAGATCCCATCGGTTAAATGCTGCGAAATACTTCTTGTTTGTGTTTTCGCTTCTCGATTTAATGATATACGATGACATCTGTTCTGCCAGTTGGATGAACTTTGATGACGTAACTTGAGCTCGCTTCATCTCTTCCTTAACGGCGGTCCTTACACCTAGTGCTGTATGTAAAAATTAAAAACAAATCAAAATGCAATTTCCATTGCAACCATACCAAACCTGTATCTCTGATTACCAAAAATACCGTTATTTCCTCTTCCTTTCTTCGTTATGCCAGAATCAAAAAATTCAACTTCCCTAATAAAGTGCACAAACTCCCCATTATGGCTTATTTTGGGCCAAAAAGGCGCAGATTTCCAAACTGGTACAATGAGAGTACCTTGCGCTTTTTCCTTCATTATTTTTACTATAGTCTGTCCGACTAGTCTTGGTGGCGGCACCCACCAATTTCTGCCTTCCTTCCAACTTTGACTGAAAGCATCAATACCGTTTGTTTGGCTACACCACCATCTGGAGTTGAATTTTGTACATTTAGCATTGTACTCGTTAGCAAATCTATCGATATCATATGGACCCCATTTCGAATCCAAGTATCCGAATATCTCATCTGTGATAAACCAATCATCACTATCTCCTCTCCTACTTAAATTATCAGCTTTGCAATTTGTTTCTCTCCTTATCCATACCGGATCTACAGTAATATTGCTAGATTCACATTTATTATGAATACTGATAGCCTGTTCTTGCAATTCACTCTTCTTACTGCCCTTCTTTAGTATAGACACAACATTCTTATTGTCTGTGTTCAACTGAACATTCTGCCCCTTCAGTTCTCTTTCAAATGAAAACAAAGTTCGTTTCATGGCTTCTAATTCTCTCCAAGTGGAGCTCTTAACGGCTTCTACGTTTGACCAACTGCCCACAAGCTCTAAATCTTCTTTCTCGGCTACAAATCCGCCGAAACCTGTTTCAGAAGCATCTGTAAACATGGTATATGCGACAAACGGCAACCTCTTTATCTCTATCCCGTTTATTCTTTCAACATGGTGCAACCAGAATTTCAATTCGTCTTTTGCTTCTCTTCCGACCTTTATCGGTGCCTGCCAACTGGCCTTCGTGTTCAGACTGTTACAAATATTCCTTGTTCTTATTTGAACTATTTGACCCATTGCGGTGTGCATTGAGCTAATTTGACCTGCTACTCTAGCCAATTCCTTCACATGCACTATGTCGTTATTACTTTGCATCCTGTCTAATAGATTCTCTATGTTCTTCTTCAACTTCCCCACTCTTCTCTGAGAGATATACACTTTGTTTTCTGAGGTTACCCAATCTAATCCCAACCACGTCTGTCTCGTTGTGGGATTCCAATTGCATTTTTCCTCCGCTACTAGAAAACCCAACTGTTTTAACTCTTCCCTGATCTGTCTGCTTAGTGTAATAGCAGACATCCTATCTTTGCAAATTACCAAGCCATCATCCAAATACATAATCACATTATTTCCCTGCGATCTCCAATGAGCAATTACAGGTCTTGTCAATTTTGTGAAAATATAACCTGCTGTGGAAATACCAAATGGTAGAACATTGAATATGAAATATCTCTTTTGATCTTCGTAATCCCAAGAGAAACCTAGATAGGTTCTGTGTTCTCTGAATATCTCAACATGATGGTAAGCAGATTTCAAGTCAAAAGTGAACATATAATCATCTTCTTCTATCATTTCCTTTGCTATATCCTCACCTTCATATCTTACCTTTTGCTTAAAAAGATGTGGATTTATGTTTCTACAATCCAGAACTAATCTCGGTTTTTCTTTGTTTCCTGCAACTGTCAGTGGATTTATTACTTCAGGTTTTTGGAAAACTTCAGTAACACATCCTTTCCTTGTTAGATTCTGTATTTCCTTTCCTACAAATTCTGCGTTTTGAATAGCAGACCTATTATTCTTACTTTCGGTTTTCTTGGGGCGAGTTATGAATGGTATTTTATACCCTTCAGAAATGATATCCAATATGAATTCGTTAGTTCCGATTTCTTTCCATTTATCTTTTGCCGATTTAAGCCTTCCAACCGGAGTAACAACTTTGCAATTCTTTTCAGAATTTAGCCTTGACTCTGTGGAGTCATTCTTGTCTGCAAATGCATTCCTCTTATGAACCTTCATATCATTCAACTGAATATCAAATGAATTTTTACTTATCTTTTCATTTCTTGCTTCTCTGCTTGATGCCAGCTCCCTGCATTCGAACCTCCAATGCCCGAATTTACCACAGGCGAAGCATGCTCCCGTTTTCCTCTTGAAATCCCATCCCTCTGTCTTGGAGCTAGGATTTGACCATGGCCTTGAAGACTGCTGAGATGCTGGTTGACGATCTGTTGGATAGGGACGTATCTGATTGCGTGAAGCTATCTTCCTTCGAGGCGCTTGATTCATCTTGCGTTTCGCTCTGGCCTCCGCCTTCCAGATTCTTTTCTCGTCGTCCGAATCCCGAGCGAGGCTATTGGTTTCATATTCAGAAACTGTAAGCCATCCAAAAGGTGATTGATCAGCAAGCTTGATGATTTTCTGCCTATGCTCTAAAATGTCTTTACCTTCGGCGATTTTGTTCTGTGCTGCCGTAGAAGCTCTGCTCAAATCTGCGTCTTTCTTCAGCAAAGATTCTGCTTCAGACAACTTCTGATAAACCTTGGTATTGCTCTTGTACTGCTCCTCGTTTCCCTTCTTTTTAAACTTGTACGTCGTGTTGGTTATTTCCTCCATCTTTGATAGCTGTACTTCGCTCATAGCCATTTGTGAATCGTTTATGTCCTTCTGGAAATGATTAAGCTTATCTGAAACGAGCGTTTCTAATTTATCCAGTAATGTATTCTGTGAATCCCTCACTTCGCCGCGGACAAGCTCGGCAATGTCCATCGGCTCCATCGTATAGTAGCTGTCGCTCCTGGCTCGGTCCCCGTAGTCGTGTCGTGTATCTAGTGTCTGACAAAGCTAGAATGGCTACCACGCCCATTTCCCTCTCTTATTATGCCTTTCTGAACATTCCTTTCCTTCTCAAAACAATAACTTACACCTGCCTAAGTTATTCAAACCATCCCGCTTCGCGGAATCGTGGCGTCTCGCCACTCCCATTACGTAATCATTAAACGGATCCGCATATACAACATTTTCCTGCTATACGTTGTACCGCAGGAAAATACAATTATCTGTATAGCATTCCAAAAATTTGAGTCTATCTGTTATATTGTAATTGACTGAATTTTTTTTTTTTTTTTGAGCGGGAATGTCAAAACCCTCTTTGCCATTTAATATTATTGTACTCCGAAATGACGTTATTGCTGTTAAGCATCATCTCAGAGTCTGCTTTAACATGCATACATTTTTCTCCTCCGCACAACAAATCTCTTTGTTTTGCAAAACTCCTGTGTCAATCACAGAATCCATTGTTATAGACTGAACTAGTTTTGATGAGCGGGAATGTCAAATCCCTCTTTGCCATTTAATAATCGTACTCCGATTTGTCATTATTGTTATCAAGCATTTTGTTTCTTCCCAGCCCCTCTATTTTGCGTGTCAAAAATACACCCTTTACTCGGGCGGTCGGGCTCCGCTCTGTTGCTCCTAAGCAATTATTGTAACTGTGACCAAGATGGGTCTTATTGTATTTTCATTTGTGTTATATTTTGAAGTTACCCGCACACTTGCACTTCGTACACACACAAACGCACCAGCATCACACATGCAGTTGTTCATCCTCCAAATTTTCGGTACTTTACATAATACGTATCGTTAAATGAATTCGCACGCGCACACTCCCGATATTCTTGTCGACGATATAAACGAGAGCAAATACTACACACCCCAAGAATTCAAAAATTCATTTTCTTACAAACCAGACAATATTTCACTTTTACATATAAACTCCAGAAGTCTGAACAAAAATTTCGAATACGTTGAAAACCTTTTACACTCTTTAAATAATTTTGCATTTTTCGTCATTGGAATAAGTGAGACATGGTTACATCAGAATTCTCCAGATATGTTCAATTTGCCTAATTATAAGTTGATTAGGGCGGACCGCAAAGGAAGAAGAGGTGGCGGTGTTGCGTTTTATATTACACAAAACATAAACTTCAAAATCCGTTCAGATATTAAACTAACACAAGCAGAATCTTTATTTATCGAAATTAATAACTCAAATGCCAAAAATGTCATCATAGGTTTGATTTATAGACCCCCTGATTCTAATTGTGATTTATTCTGTGACGAACTGGATTTTTACCTTCATAAAATAGGGGATGAAAATAAACACAATTTTATCCTTGGTGACTTTAACATCAACTTCTCACCCTCATCTGATAACAGTAACTCAACCAATTGTATGCAGTTGATGCATTCATACGGCTTTTTTTCGATTATTAATAAACCCACCAGAATAAATCCACATTCATCAACTCAGATTGACAATATTTTTTCAAACGTACATAACAACAAAACCATCGGTGGAATATTGTGTTCTGAAGTGTCGGATCACCTACCCATATTTTTAACTTGTGAATGCAAACTATCTGGCCGTAAATCACTTGATGAGCTTATATATCGCAAAGAATCCAAACGTAATATAGAACTGCTGAAACAGGATTTATTTTTCGAGGGATGGGCTGAGGTATATAGTGTAAATGATGTCAATACTGCATATAAACATTTTAGTAACAAATTGCAATATTATTATGAAAAGAATATTCCTTTAGGCAAAATGAGTAATAAGCGAAATAAACCCTTGGATAACGAAAGGTTTATTGAAATCAATACAAACACGCAATCGCCTCTACAAATTACATTTACACAATCCAACTGACACTAACCTAAACACATATAAAATTTATCGAAACAAATTAACAAAACTTATCCGTACATCCCGTAGATTGCATTTTTCTAATAAAATAAAAAAAGGCCAGTTCAAACACAACTGCAACTTGGAAAATTATCAAAGAGGTAATGGGAAAAAAAACGAATCCCCCACCCACGGATAATATCACATTAAATGGCACTAAAATACATGATCCTAGTCTTCATGCAAATTCATTTAACTCATTTTTTACGAATATCGGCCCTGAACTCGCCAGCAAAATTAATAGAACTCACGCACACTTTAAAGACTATCTTTCCAATCAAAACCAAGAGTCTCTCTTTTTAAATCCGACAAATCCTAGCGAAATTATTAACATTACCCAATCTCTTAACAACTCAAAATCGCACGGTTTTGATAAAATAAGTATGTTTCTCCTAAAAGAAATAATGTATCCACTTGCAAAGCCTTTAAGTCACATATTTAATCACTCGTTATCGCAAGGTGTTTTCCCTGATCTATTAAAACTAGCTAAAGTCAACCCCATTCTCAAAAAAGATGATCCTCACGAAATTAGTAACTATCGTCCAATTTCCCTACTCCCAAGTATATCCAAAGTCTTAGAAAAGATCGTTCATAACAGGCTACACAAATTTATCACTAAACACAAAATACTCAATTCAAATCAATATGGCTTCAGAACAAATTACTCAACTGACTTAGCATTAATTCAAATTTATGACAAAATTACAAGTGCCATAGCTAACAAAGAGCATGTTATAGGTATATTCTGTGACTTGAGTAAAGCATTTGATACGCTCAATCACGCTATTCTACTCTCCAAACTCAGTCATTACGGAATTCGGGGTCAGCCACTCTTATGGTTTAAAGATTATTTAACAAACAGAAGACAATATGTTACATTTAATAGTTATGATTCTGATCCTCTTTTAATTCAATGCGGTGTTCCTCAAGGCTCCATCTTAGGTCCACTGTTATTTCTTCTTTACGTAAATTATATTATCAATACATTCCCCCTTCTTTCTTTTATCTTATTTGCCGATGATACAAATATCTTTTATTCCCATAAAGACCTTAATTCGTTAAACAATACTTTGAATTATGAAATTAACAAAGTATCAGATTGGTTTAAATCCAATAAACTTTCACTTAATACAAAAAAGATTCATTTCATGTATTTTAAACATCATTCTCATAATACAGAAACACCTATATATATTAAAATCGATGGTATGCTACTAGAGAAGAAAACTAATTCCAAGTTTTTGGGTGTTCTTATAGATGAAACCTTGACTTGGAATGATCATTTACACCAAGTTACAATGTGCATTTCCAAAAGTATTGGAATAATCTCCAAGTTAAAGTTTCTTCTACCCCATGCAACCTTATTCCTACTATATAATTCGCTAGTTCTCCCGTATATAACATATTGTAATAGCGTATGGGCAAATTGTGGTTCGACAAAAATCAATTCTATTTTCAAACTGCAAAAGAAAGCCGTACGTATTTGTACAGGTTCGCATTTCTTAGCTCACACTGATCCTTTATTCTATAAACTTAAAACACTAAAAATTTTCGATCTGAACACTACTCAAGTAGCAGTTATTATGTTTAAGTACATAAATAATCTGCTTCCACCATCCTTTGATAACATGTTTAGGTTTAATAATTCCGTTCATTCATACTCTACTCGCATATCTGAAAACTTCCATCTTACAAACCCCATATCAATAACACACAAAATCTGTTAGACATTCTGGCCCGGACATTTGGAATGATTTACCCGACAACATAAAGTCTTGTTCAACCATCTACTCCTTAAAAGCTACACTTAAACGACAAATAATACAATGCTCCCCCTCTCTAAATTAGTATAACAAAACCGTGACTTATTTATTCTTTATCATGCAACTGCTCACTGCACCTGCACTTGCACCGCACCCTCTTGATCACTCAGTTTTTCGAAGAGAGTTATGTCGCCAATTCTTTTTACGAGGCCGCCATCCATCTCCAGCCTAACCGCTCACGATGGTGGTCTCCTGCGTTCCGAATTACCTCTCTAATTTATTGAAAATATTTCATATTTCTTATGTTATTGTATGCTTCGTACATGTTTATCGAATGATATAATTGTACATGATTTTTCATTTAATTACTTTTGTAAACATTGTATTCATTGTATTTGTTATTGTTCGAAATTTTGTACTTTGACTTTGAATTTGTATATTTTTGAACGCAGAAATAAAATCAATCAAACAAACAAACAGACATCTGAGCTGGTCATTTACAAAACCGTATTGCCCTAGTTTTCACTAGCAGTGGGAACGAAGGGGGTATATTCTTTGTATTTTCCTTGGTCTCCCTGCTCGTATAGACTTTGCGTGTAGAGACGAGTGAAAATATACCTTTGTATTTTCCACGGTCTCGCATCCGGGCCATATTTTGTCATTTTCATTGCGCATCTATTATGCGTACGAGAACCTGCGCATTTTGCGCGCACTCTATTGTGACGTAATAATCACACCAAATGCACACTGTTTGCAGTGTATCGAAAATTTCGTCAAGCACTGGATGCACAGTGCTGGTTTGACAAAGCTTGTTCAGTTCTTTGAGATTATCATGGTGGATTTCTGTATTTGCTCTAGATGTCTGATTTGGATTTCGGCTTTACTTTCGGGGGATATCAGAAATATTTACCGCGCTAAGACCATATTGCCCTCGTCTTTCGACTCGGGGCAATATGATCTGAGCTTGGTCAATATTTCTGATATACCCCTCAAGGCCAGTCAATATTATATAATTATATACTTCAACGAAAACAGGGTGCACAAATTCTAGCAGCCGACATTAAAAAGGTCTTATTTGAGCGCATATCAACCAATGTCCAGAACAAATATTTTAGTTAGTAGCGCATAACATGTAGAGTATGTAGGTGAAGGGGTGTCGGTCTATAATACATTCGCCGCTAATTACCATTTGCTTTAAATGAGCTGAAACTCACATGAAATGTAGATTATTATATACTTCAGCGAATACGGGGTAAACAAATTCTAGCAGCCGACATTAAAAAGGTCTTATTTGAGCGCATATCAACCAATGTCCAGAACAAATATTTTAGTTAGTAGCGCATAACATGTAGAGTATATCGGTGAAGGGGTTGTCGGTCTTTAATACATTCGCCTCTAATTCCCATTTGCATTAAATGAGCTGAAACTCACATGAAATAAAGATTATTATAAACCTCATCGAATACAGGGTACACCAATTCTAGCAGCCGACATTAAAAAGGTCTTATTTGAGCGCATATCAACCAATGTCCAGAACAAA